CCAGGGATTTTTCTCTAACTTCTGAGAACTTCGTAAAACTTCAAGGACATCTAAGAAGTCCAGGGAACTGTGTGGGCCCGATACACCCCAGTGTTTCATGAGCTTAACTAGGGGGAAGCAGCCCTGCAAAAAGCTTGATGAGAGTGTGCGTGTGAACTCTACACAGAGTACGTATGAAGCATCAGAGCCACCATCATCGACTATTTCTACTCATGTCAGGCCTGTCTAGGGTTACCATATGATATCATAAAGGAGGACACGTCCTCCTTTTTCAATATTTTTTCTACATCCTCCTTTTACCCGCAAATGTCCTCCTTTTTGATCCTTGCCTTTTTTTTTCCAGTAACATATTCATAAAATTGTTTTCAAAGAGCGTTGTTTGCAGAGCTTCTTTGTAAACCTCATCTTATCTAGTAATTGCTATTCGATGGTGATACTAGGAGTATACTACAGCTGTCAACCCCCCTACATTTAGGCTGCGATCCATTTGGTAAATTTTCACTTAAATTTTACAAATGGAAAATTTTCAAAAAAAGACCAGGAATCAATTTTGACAAATAATTTCTCACATTTCAAACATTATAATTTATTTTCGAAGTATCAGTGAATATTCATCAAATGTAACACAGAATCAGGCTGCGTTAAATTTTTCTGAATTTTTACTTAAATTTGACATTTCGAAAATAAATTACAATGTTCGTAAATCTCTCTGCTGTTGATCGTGTGATTTTCGAGATGGTGTTTGTCAAAATTAATTCCTGGTCTGCTGCGCAGAAAAAAATTCTGAATTTTAGCTATCGCGTAAAATCTCCCTTCGTTCAATATTGAGGTATACTTGGCATAAACAGCGAAATCGTTTACAAGCTTGCATACAATATTGCTAATTTATGCGATGTTGAGCTTAAATTTAAACGAAATATCGCGTAAATTTATGCCAAATCTAGCGTTAATTTTATGTGCGCTATATATCGCAGAAATTAACATGAATTTTTCAAACGGTGTGGAAATAAGTCTGATACAATAGCATGTTTATTTGAAAATTTTCTATCTGTCAAATTTAAGTTAAAATTCACCAAATGGAACACAACAACACAGATTGAATCCAACATGTGTTCGATTTTGACGTTCTGATTCTATGGGATTTTAGGTATCCCAAGCATAACTATTCAAATCGACGTATCTGATTTAACAAACAATCACTTCAATCGACGATTTGTAGCAACTGCATGCTCACTCACAAAAACTAACAACACCAGCTAGTAGGGGAAATATTTCCCTACCTGATGGTGGTGTTTGTTTGCATGGGTGAGTTAGCAGTTAAGACAAATCATCGATTGAAGAGAGCAGATACGTCACTTGATTTGTTTAGGCCGCTGCCATACTGAGAGCGAAGAGATAGCGAGAAGCGTGAAATCGAATGTAAGGAATAATATCACATTATGGGAGCGTCCTTAGAGTCCTATGCTGAATCAATGGTAAAATTAACAGGTTGCTTAGATGTTCCATGTTGGCTTCAACCAGCGATGACATGTATCCTGATTTTAGTACATGGTAAAAGTTGTAATGGTTTTAAGGCTGTAAAGCTGTAGTTTTCAAGCATATCAGCTAGTCTAGATCATTTCCAAGCAGTGCTGAGATTTGTCATTGTCATTGACAGACTTTCGCGCGATATTGACAAAATTGTTCGTCACATAGTCACTGACAGACTTGATCCTCAAAAAAACCTTCGTCAAAATCTCATTCATTTTTTCGTCCATGACAAAGATTCACCTATAACAAAAAGTGTAATTTAGTACACGGTAAGAAATAAGTACCCAACGGCCAGTTCACTTTTACCTACTTTTGACTAGTTTGTCTCATTTTCTCCTTCTAATGTTGTCAAAAAAGAAGGAGCAAAACCACCCAACAGGCGTAGTAAAGTGGGGGAACCCAACGTTGGGTATAATCATATTTACCTACTGTTGGGTACAACTAACTTACTTTTGGTTAAAAAGCTAGTGGAAAATTCCATACGAACTGCTCACAAGTAAATGAAAATTTCTTTCACCCGCTTTACCTACTTTTGGGTTCCTGCAGTATAGTGCCGAGATGAGTGAAAAGAACTTAATTTTGGGTACTTTTTTCTAACCGTGTACATTCTGTGTCACATTATTGTTATCCAAGTAGCTCAGGACGTAGATACTTGTTCATTAAAATTGATCCATGTAATTGTTTTGCTCAAGTTATTTAATTTCGTTACAAATTTAGCTAATAAACAAATCTGCACATGTTCGTCACTGACACCATTGTCATTGACAATTGACATGGTTTGCCTTGACTATGACTGTTAGCTCAAATGAGTGACCAAAGCAGAATTGAATTGAATTGATAACGACTACAAGTTATGAACAATCTCAATTGAACCTTTGCAAATCATGAATTTTTTGATAGCGCACATATTATTAAAACGTTTGATAAAAACTAATTTTCCTCCTTTAATGTTAAAAAAGGAATTATTGTCCTCCTTTTCAAGTTTATGATATGGTAACCCTAGGCCTGTCAGGCACACGTTTCCACTTCGTTCCATTATCAGCGACGTTCTTCTTACTTTGGATCCACTGCCACTAGTTGATCTCCGAAAATTCGAGAATCTCACTCACTCACTACGTCTGATGGGTGTGGATGGATTCGGTCATCTACGTCGACATTGCTAGGCGTGTGGGGCTCGACGGGCTCGTTATAGAAGCGCAGCCAACGCTGGGGTTTCCCACGGTAGTCTCCTAGGTCCTATCCCCTTCAAAATCATCACGTCAGATATTCCTCCCCTTCCGGGTGGTGGTATCTTGAGCATGAGCATGAGCATGATTGACCGCCCACGGTTGCTACTCTGTTATTGCCAGACCAGCTGTAATTACACAGAGAACCAATAGACGATGCTTGGGACTAGCAATCATCCTCAATGTGTAAAAACTGGTGATCTCGAATTAGGCAATACCAGCGCCAGCCGCGCCTGAACGCAGGTCAAGAAAGGAATGGGTAGGAATGTGTTGACGTGACACTCGCTTTGATGGAAGCCGAGGAGTCCTCTGCACTTCCACGAGGAATCACAGGGATGTTGGGTAAGTGGGTTGGGTTTGCAGCAGGGTTCGTTTTGGTAAACGATAAGCTGAATTGATGTCCTAACGATCATATAACGCGAAGGAGCTTGGGATTGAACCCACGGTCTTCTGCTCAGTAAGCAAAAACGTTTGCCACAAGGCAGACGAGCTCCTTTTTAATGATGTTCTGCTCAGTAAGCAAAAACGGTTGCTCTAAGGCCACCGAGCCTCTCATATCACATTATAGTGTTACTCAAGTTTTTATAACTATTCAAACCCGGCACCGACGACAACGAAAAGTTTTACAAAATACACGATAAACAAGCGATCTTACCATGCATTTTTAATATGAAAGGATCTGGGACCGCATTTTTCTCCTCAGTAAGCAAGCCACTGCAACCAACGATCTTTGAAATCCTAAAACTTAAAGCTACGAAAGAGTACTTAGGCCTTCATTAAGATCCACTTTCACGCGACGTTCAATGTTTCGATTTTCTCTTTACGCATGGTTCACACAATCATAACAAGCTATGACCGACGTGACGATGGTTTAAGACCTGGTTAAACAAGCTATTCCAATGAAATTACGTTCTCGAATTTCACTTGGAATGTAATGAACAACAGAAATACGCGATAATTCATATTTTCAGCGGTTGAAATTTAATTTTATATATACTAACGGTACTGCCTACGACTACGACGGCGATTACGACAGCGACTACGACGGCGCCTACGACAACGACAACAGAGAATTTGTAACTTATCATTTGTCTAGGATAAACACCTTTGCCCGGCACCTCCACTGGTTCTTCATGTCCGCTATCTATCACTGTTTGCAAAATATCTAATAGCAATTACCTTTGTTGTAATACTTCCTGTATTGCCATGGTGATCTGGGAGGAGGTTCGCATCTAGTGCTTTCCCCAGGAACCGTTCACGGCCACCAGCTACCGCCCGTCCAGTCTTGGGCGTATCCAGCGAGACATCCTTCAGCTTACTCACAATCTCCGTCACTCGATGCAAATCGCAGGCACACTTACGCTAGTTACAAAAAAAAACAACACCCGTGCAAAGAAACGGATCCAATAAACGGCACTCTTGCGAAAGCACACCCGTCGTCGTCGAACAGCAAAAAAAGGAATCGGTGGGCAATTTTGTGATACGGATTTCCAAAATCAAACGGGACTGCACGAATTTTACCACACCCAACTGCGAAACACGTTCAGAAGCACTTATGGTACACTTTCGTTCGAAAACCAACATCATCACCGCGTAAATAAACTAAAATTAAAATTATCACTCGCGATGCCACAAATTTCTCCCTTCCGGGTGGTGGTATCTTGTCAATATTTACGGATGACACTGTCATCATCTATCTGTGCTCTGGCAAGAAAACTCCAGTCAGGCCTGGATGTTCTGCCCAACTAAATATTTTAATAGCTAGAAGATGTATATCAATGCAGCTAAAACACAGAGCATACAATTTCCGCACTCCAATCCACCTAGGCTTATTACCCCTGGAAAGTTGAAAGTTCACCTCAATAATACTCCTATAGAATAGTCGAGTGGAGTCTTCTTTCTACGTAGCCTCAAAACAACAACTTTTGAACAAATTTTAAAACATTTTATATAAACAATTTTTTGTTATTTTTTTTATTGATAAGCTCCACAGTCCTTGCAGCAATATTGATACAGGTCGATCGATCGAGGAAACTTACGAATCGCGCTAAGCGTAGGACACTCCTCAACCATTATTATGATCTGGTGCTGTAGCGAGGAACTTTCTTACCTAGGTCATAATACAGCGTTCATGTTACTGATCCAACTTATATTCAACCAAATTACAACTAAATGAAAGATTTCTGTCATAATTTTTCAAAATCCCCTCTGCTAACGCTGAATTATTCTGAAATCTCATTGCAGTTTGCTCAGCAACTTGCCCAACACGTACGCCTACACGAAAGCTCTGACCGAGGACCTCGTCTACAGCTACCGGGATCGATTCCCGATTGCAATCGCTCGCCCAACCATCGTCGTTGCAGCATGGAAAGAGCCGCTGCCCGGCTGGGTGGAGGGAACAAATGGACCGACGGGCCTTATGATCGGTGCCGGTCGGGGTGTCATCCGAACCATGCACTGCAATCCGGACTATGAATCAGACATCATGCCCGTGGACATAACCATGAATGCAATCATCGTTTTGGCAGCAGAACGGATAAACACGCCCAACAATCGAGAGGCTATGTTCTGCAACGTGTCCGGAGCCAATGTGAACACCCTAACGTGGGGCGATGCGCTGGAAAGCGGTCGGCAAAAGTTCTACGACAATCCCCTGTGCTTTTCCCTGTGGTACCCGGATGGATCGATCAAGTCAAACTACTACTATCACATGCTGTGCGTGATCATGTTCCACTACCTGCCGGCTTATCTGATAGATTTCCTGATGATTGTGCTGCGACGGAAGCCATTGTTAGTTTGATTTTAATTCTGCCAAGGTCAAATATTTTTAACTATGTTTTCTATTAAACTTACAGCATGCTCAAAATCCAGAAGAGGATATCTGAGGGACTTGAAACCCTGCAGTACTACACAACGAAAGTTTGGATCTTCAAAAACGACAACATGCGCGCAATGTACAGCCGCCTCTCGGAGGATGACCGGGAAAAGTTCTACTTCGACATGACCCCCGTACATTGGCCAACGTATTTCCTGAACTACATCCTCGGCGTTCGGCAGTATGTGCTGAAGGAACCCCCGGAGACATTACCGAAGGCACGAAAATTGCTGAAAAAGTGAGTGACTAATGCGACTAGAGTTGAGGACTAATGTTGATTCCATACTCTTTAATACCCTTTCCAGATTGTACTACATGGACAAACTCGTTCAGGCTATGCTCTATTTGCTGATTCTGTGGTTGGCCTATTCGTACTGGGACGTTGTGATAGGATCGATTCAGTATATCTTCGACAGTGCTATCGAGGGTGCCCGCAAGGCAATGACTCCGACTCCGAAAGCGCATTCCGTGCGGATTTAGATGGTGCATGACGCCTGTATATGATTCCATTGTCTATGATATTATTTGTAGTTTTTTTTTAGATACCTAATACCGTTTGTTTTCTTCATGTAACATACGTAGCTTTTAGCTCTTTTCGCCTTTTCATGTAACATGTAGCACCGCCAATCACCTTTCAGTTTTATGTAATAAGATAATAAAATGCGCAATGTTTGGTTCACAGAATCGCGGAAGCTTTTATTTTTCATGGCTACGATGGTTATGTTAATGTTTTTCACGTATGGGAAGGAGGGGCATAATGATTTATTTATTTATTTATTGTTTCAATGATTCATCTGACATATGGTTGTATAATTAGTATTATTAAAACAAAGGACAGGACAGTCTTTTAATAAAAACAGTTAACGGCACATTAAAGTCAAACAATGCATAGAGCTTGAGCTTGAGCTTGAGCTTGATTGACCGCCCACGGTTGCTACTCTGTTACTGCCAGAACAGCTGTAATTACACAGAGAACCAATAGACGATGCTTGGGACTAGCAATCATCCTCAATGTGTAAAAACTGGTGATCTTAAATTAGGCAATACCAGCGCCGGCCGCGCCCGAACACAGGTCAAGAAAGGAATGGGAAGGATTGTGTTGACATGACACTCGCTTTGATGGAAGCCGAGAACACCTCTGCACTTCCACGAGGAATCACTGGGATGTTGGATAAGAGGGTTGGGTTTGCAGCAGGGTTCGTTTTGGTAAACGATAAGCTGAATTGATGTCCTAACGATCATATAACGCGAAGGAGCTTGGGACTAAACCCACGGTCTTCTGCTCAGTAAGCAAAAACGTTTGCCACTAGGCAGACGAGCACCTTTTTAATCACCGAGTTGCTGTTATTACCATGTAGTCATATTAACAAATAAAACGATTGACGAATCTTGAATGTGAATGGGCCTGAGATTAGACTCATGATGTTCTGCTCAGTAAGCAAAAACGGTTGCTCTAAGGCCACCGAGCCCCTCATATCACATAATACCGTTGCTCAAATTTGTGTATCCATTCAAACCCGGAACCAACGACAACAACGAGTTTCGCAAAATACACGATACACAAGCGATTTTACCATAAATCTCTTTGATATGTAAGGACCTGGGACCGCGTTTTTCTGCTCAGTAAGCAGGCCACTGTAACCGACGATCTTTCAAATCCGAAAACTAAAAACTACGAAAAATTACTTAGGCCTTCATTAAGTTCCACTTTCACGCGACGTTCAATGACAGGGTCCTATCCAGGATTACATCTGAAAAATCCAAATCTGGCCAACACCCACCATAAACCTAAACCTGTTCTAATCCACCTGAAATGACTAACGAATGGAAGACTTTGACTACCCAGCCATGCAATAGTCTCATTCCGTGCCTTATGGCAACTTGATGATTCTATTGCGCTCATCTTTTGGCACCATCCAGGGGAGACTTGGTCCTATACCCAATGCTTAACTTATCTCCATTCCACTCAGCTACTCGCAATTTCTTGTGATATAGTGGGCGGAATATTATTATATGAGACAATTCAATGCAGACGTCTTTCCAAATTTGGCAGATCGACAGGTAATCGGTGAGTTACCACGATAGTTGCTATTCAACAACTCGACAACGTCCCATCGTCAACGCCTGCTATGAGAATTTCCCATTGCAGACGCCAACGAAATGACGTCTTCGAGCTATCGATCAACTACCCTGGTTATCGCCTGGTACCTTATAGCACGATGCTAGGAGGCGAACCGGAAGAATCGATGAGCTACCTCTCCCCCCATTAAAGTCAAACAATGCATAGACGTCATTAACTGCATTAGCGACGGCACGGATAGGTTCATTCAACGCATTACGAGCTGCGAGATGTACAAAATTACGCTGTCTAATCACTCTCTCAGGTGCGTAAAAAAAAGCTGCCGAAGTAATTCGGGGGAATCAATCTCGCTGATCTTAGCAGCAAAAACAGCTCGAGCATTCAGTCTTCTTTGCTTCAAGGTGTCAATTCCAAGCAGACGACAGCGATCCACGTAAGACGGCAAGTTAGCCGTGTCACGCCAAGGCAGATGACGAAGCGCGTAGCGAACAAACTTTCTCTGTACACTCTCAAATCTGTACACCAGACGACAGCACTACTCTAAGATTGAACGTACTAACGACCAATACAGCGCCCGCAGGCAAAGCGAATTGCGAAAGTCTTCAGATATTTTAAACATAAAGCCAAGGTGCCTGTTAGCCAGTCTTGTAAGCGGTCACGGTAGTCGACACATTTTCTGTGATAATCGACTGCCTTTGCCTCCGACACTTGCAAAACAAGCTACACTTAAAAAAATCTACACGCGCCGTTCATGTGTTTCACATTTGAATTGGCGCAATGTGGCAAACACATTCATTTCAAATGTCTAACTTATGAAATCAGCCATACCTTATCCATGCTCCATTCACTTACAGCACACATGAATTTCATGTGATTTAAATGTCAAAGTCATGTGCATGATTTATTACCATGATATGTTTTGCATATGAATATGTTCTACAACACATGCTAAATTTAAACACGATGCACATGAATTTGATGAAAGACCTTGTAGCAATATAATAGCACAAACGAAGTGACAGACGGAGCGGCTCGAAAACTTTGGTGACTAACCTGCTATTGCAATTTTTCAGTGTACCACATGGCAACACCACTACTACTGGATTGTACCACATGGCAACACTACTACTAGATTGAACTAGCATTTTCACCAAATGTACTGGAATGTTTTGGTTCTATCTCTTTCACTCTACTCAAAACTGAAATGCATAAAAAAATGACAAAATGATACGCACTCTTTGCACACTGTCAAAGAATCATTGTACACAAAATCAACTTTGTTCAAATCAAAACAAAAAAAACTAACCCATCTGGTGGATGATGGCACAAGCTTCCAAGAAAATTCTATTACAGTGACCCACATTATTTAAATGGATTTCTTAGCCAGTTAGTCGTCTGTCACTTCGTTTGTGATAATAGTATAACTATTGGATTCCAAGTTGATTTGTTGCTCTGAAATAGATAACTGAATTTCATTTAAGCAAATCGTAGTCATGCATACTGCATTCCAATAGTATCGTACAAACAGAAAAATTGTTATCTAATACGCTTGAAACTCAATATACAGAACTACGGTCTACTTAAGAGATAATTATTGAACGGGGTTCAGTACGTAAAAATGATAAATACGATACATTTCAATTTTGATACATTAATTTACATTTTCATATTGTTTGTACAGTATATTAATCGTAGAAGATAGCTTAACCTATGCCCTGGATGCTCTAATCCTGTTTTTCGTTGGATCAATGCCGTGTTCTGTAATGAAAATATTGCATTAATGTTATAAATATATCTTATCATACAAACAATGTACTCACGGTTAATAATTTCTATAATTTCGTTAGGAAAACCTAACTCCACTAACAAACTTACTCTCCTCGCAAAGTTGCTGGTGCCTTCCATGTTTGTTTTGACACTTTAGACACTCTTCTCATCATTATAGTGAGATCCGTACGATTCATGTGTCATACACGTTAAAAACACTAGTGGAAAACAGTAGCGCAGAATTATATGAGGATCTCATGGATTTCGATAAGTAAACACATGAAATCAATGTGTGGTTAGTATTGATTTCATAAGCAATAAAAACATATTATTTTTTTGTGTAAATCTCATGACATGCGAGGGAAAAGCACATGATTCTATGGTGACAAGCAATGAATGGTCTTCATATTCCAAAACACATGAATGGAACGTGTCATTTTTTTTGAGTGTATCATAGTACAGTACCAAACTCAAATGTCATTTGACAGGCTCTGTCATACGACACTGTCGCCGAAGACCGTCACGAATGTATGTATTTTAGTTTCTCTCATTATAAGAGCTGCTGATGTTGTGCTTGTGTGAATTCTGAAAAAATCAAGCAATGATGTCCTAGGAATAACATTTCTGATCAGAAATGGTTTAATTTACACCAAACTGAGGAATTAGAACAAAATCACTCATATCATATGATAGTTATTTGATCATTTTCTTTTTGCTCGAATGTTATTCTACCGGTTGTGTTGTGTGAGAGAGACGACGGTAGAGCACGAGAGTACGAATAAAAACAGACTGTCGCGCATGACAACGAAGCGAGTGTCGTAAAAAACGTCAACAGTTTCAACCTCTGCTGTTAGCTTTAGTCAGGATGTCTTTGTAGTGCGGTTTTAATGTCAATTCACAGTCGAGTGTTACTCCCAAATCTTTGATCTGGCTAATCGTTTCTAATGTTTGCCAGGAAATGGAATAGGGTTAACTACCCCATTTCCGGCCTATTAAGCACAACCCGCACTTAGTCTTTCTTAATCTAGCTCAGGTTAGCACCAAACGGGTTGTTATTAATACTGATGGCTTCCAAATTTATTTACCTTTCCGTACGTACCGTAAAATTTGATAAAGAGCAACCAATCGTTGAGATATTGTCAAAAGTCTAACACTGCTTCTTGACGCCAAACTCGGCCTACGGATTCTAAACTCGGCCTAACGCATTGAAACGCCATTGAAACGCCAATGAATTCACTTCGGCCTATCGGATGAAGATAAAAATTGATTCGGTCAGAGCGCTTCTTTTGTTTTTGGGAATTATCGGTGCAAACCTTCATATCACGCGTTCTCATTGACTTTGTTCGGTAGCTTATTAACTAAAGTATCGTACCAAACGCATAATTTACTTGTTAACTCTGAAATCATGGATTTATTTGAAGTTTTCTGCTCGATAGGCCCAAAATGGGCGATTAGGCCGAAGTAGTTCTCTACCCTAATCAAATATTATCGGGTTTTGTTTGCGGTGAAATGATATCACATTGCACTTGTTGATGCTGAGCGTCAAGAAGTTACGGGAGCACCAGCTCTGCATACGATCCACAATCAGCTACAACTACTCACAATCAGTGATGCAATTCATAACCACATACATTTTGACATCGTTGACGAAAAGCGAAAACAGAAGGGGTCCCAGATTACTTCCTTGGGGAACGCCAGAAACGTTCGT